TTCGGGCCACTTGCCTAACAATCCTGACTGAGTCCGGTAGTCATCCAGCAGCCTTCTTCCTCATGACAGCGCCTGCAGAAGCAAAGAGGCAGCCAAGCTGAAGCATCAGAAAACCATCACCAGCTGCACTGAATCCTTTTTAACCAGCTTCAATCACAGGATCATATCCGGGGAGCTGGACAAAGTGCTCAGTGGATTCATGTCTTAAATCAAGCCAGGGACTGTTCTAAAAAATATCTGGAGCGTATGGGATAGACTAGGTGTATTTCTAATAAACAGTGTTCTAACAGGGTGCGACGGTCGCACCCTGTTAGAACACTCACTGACGCGAGCGAGTGTTCTAAGGACACTCCTGGATTCGCTGGAGCTGACTTAATCTTGCGTCCGTCGCAAAGTGATCAAGCGAAAAACACAATCTTTGCTCAGGTCCAGCGAAATCAGACCCCCCTTAGAACACTCAATGACGCGAGCGAGTGTTCTAACAGGGTGCGACCGTCGCACCCTGTTGGAACAGTGTTTACCTTAAATACACCTAGTCTATCCCATACTCTCCAGATATTCTTTTAAAGCAGTCCCTGGCTTGATGATTGATTTAAGGCATGAATCCACTAAGCACTTTGTCCAGCTCCCCGAAAATGATCCTGTGATTGAAGCTGGCTAAAGAGGATTCAGTGCAGCTGGTGATGGTTTTCTGATGCTTCAGCTTAGCTGCCACTTTGCTTCCGCAGGCGCTGCCATGAGGAAGAAGGCTGCTGGATGACTACCGGACTTCAGTCAGGATTGTTAGGCAAGTGGCCCGAAGCATAGATGGAGGATGCTATATGAAGAGGTGATGACATTCTGGTGACTTTTCAATCTTCATTCCACGTTTACATGTTGCATTCAATATTTTTGTTTATTGCCACAGGCTCCCTTTAACTGACCCCACTCCAAAGTGATGCCCGGGTCCCAACTGGTCCCACCAGAACTAGTTCCAGTAGAATCTTACCCTGAGAGTGACATGGCTTTGTTGATTCATGCATGTGCTTGGATTTGCCAATTCCATTAATATCGACTCAGTGACTCACAGTCCTATCCGGATGTCGGTGGTAGAACATTGGGTGAACATCCGTTCCCAGCAACTGTTGCCTACCCTACGGATTTGAAAGAACATGAAACAACACATCCAAAGGGCTATATACTTAGCTTGTTTAGACCCAATGAGGGACATCAACATCCTTCACTTGTCATCTTGTCAGTACTTGAGCTAGAATGACATCATTGTACCAAGGACCAATGTGAAGTGAAGATCCACCCTATGGAAGCATCAGCTGCTGAGAAGGGGGTGGCAGAAGGAACAAGGTAAGCTAAAGGGAAATCGATATTTTTTGAAAATCAACTATTCAACTATTAGAAATACATCCCAGTTTAACTATATATATATATAATATAGGTGTTCGGGAAAATAATTCCACCAACCACAGTGACCCATCCAAGATGTTAGTTCCTTTGGCCGGTCATAGGGAAACACGATGTCTAACAACTACATACAACTATACTATACAGTATTATATATATATACCTTATAGAACCCATTTGACTCCTGTTGTGATAGGAAAGGACCATTTTTGAGGTTGGTTGGTGGTCCAAAATAAAGGATTCCTCAAGTTCCATACCCTAGGCCTCCAGTCGTACCTTTTGAGAATGTGAGACTGGGGGCCTGGGTGCCATTGTCGGGTCCAGTCATACCGAACGTGAGGAGATACGACTGGAGGTGTAGGGATAGCCTTTCACATCTGCACTCCTTCCCATCTTTGGTCTCCAACCTCACTTTTGTTCAATCGGAAAGGCTGTCCACCACAGATCTGATGCGGACCCAAAGCGTGGCGCCCAACCAAACCACAGACCGAAGGCTGGGCAATTTTTCCGAATCCGTTAAAACAAGAAAAGGTTGCTTATCTATCTAATGTAAAAACATTACAATGAACTGAACAACAGTCAATTTGAACATCATTCTTTCTTGGCGCCTTTAAATCCATTCAACAACTTGGGGCACCGTTCGTCTCGATCGAACTTGGAGTCTTTGGGCGCCCGGTAGCCACTGGCGCCACGCCAGGCTCAACACCTTCAGCCCGATGTGGTCGCCTACGGAGCCAGTTCCTGGGCCGCCAATGGCGCTCAATGGCCATGCGCCGGAAGAGCCTTTCTCTTCGAAGAGAAGGAACCTGCCGGTAAACAGCCACATTCTTTTAGTATATAGCACCATGAAAAGGTCAACATTCTGGTGAAAAGAGTATAACAGTATAAGTGATGTCGACGGTTTAATTTCATGTCACTTCTCATCTCTCCGTATATATATCCACATACCCTCTTCTTGAGGCTAATTCGAGACATCAGGCTTGTAGGCTTGATCCGTATGAGAAGGTGGCAGTGGATCCCTACGGTTTGAAGAAGCAACTATCCCTACACCTCCAGTCGTACCTCCTCAGTGAGACTCGAAAAGGACAATGAAGCCACGCCTTGAGCGCCAGATTTGAGGTAATCAGAACTCCTAGATCGGGAGGCCGCACCTTTGGTTATGAGATGTTCTATGGGATGTCATTTGCAGCTTAAGACGCAAACAGAGCAAGGAGCTTAAACCTATGCCCGGAGCTTGATAGCCAGGTTTTTCTGTCTAACACCACGTGCCACAGCCGTGGTGTTAGACAGAGCACGTCACCCACCCAGGTATCAGCTCCTGTGAGAAGGCAGCCGTTTGGCCACAAGAGACTCGGCCGAGACGAGAGGCATTCACTAAAGAGGGTAGCCTGCTAGCAGCGTGAGATGAAGCAGGCAGGTCTTCATTGTTCAACTTGAGAAAGCATAAAACATGGTTTAAACAAAAAACATGTGCAGTTGGTACAATGGTACAAGGTTCTTAGTTAAGTTTGACTCTTCTTGAACTAGTTCGAAGAGGTTGGGTGTGGTTGGGTTCTCCTTCGGCCCAATGGGGAGCACAGGATTCAGCCACGAAACATGGGCTCCCGTCACACACAGACACAGCCAGCAGTGCACGGAGTGGCGTTCCCCGAGCAGGTCAGCTGTGACCACCCCAACCGAATAGCACGAAGGGCGCTTCCGGTGTTTCTTTTTGCCTTCCTTCGAGTGCAGTACTGTTGTCATGCTAGCTGTATCTAGCTGTGGTTCATCTAGGGATGATCCTTCAACTCAGCAGGAACACCCCCTTCCAGGACCGACCGACAGCGGAGACCTGCGCTCGTTGCGCGCGGTCGGAATGGACCCAACTCCACCCTCAACTGTCAGACCTGAAAGTGATTGTATACTGCATGGTTGGTGAAGAGTCCCTATGGATCCACATACCTCCTGGGGTACGGTGTGCAGGGAGCCTAAGAAAAACGGCGCCCATTGGCACCATACCGAACCAGGGTCGGTACGGTGGATCCGTGGATCCTTTGGGAGAGTGTATAGGTGAAGTCCAGGATCCCAATTCCGGTGGCTGAAAAACCATAGTTAAAACCCATTTCCTGCCAGCTCCCCAGCTATCTTTCTTGACAACACTCTGCAGTTTGCAGTTGAGTTTAGTTGGTGTTCTGTTTAGACCCATCTGATTACAGAGACAATGTTTGACATGTTTGCCAAGATTTGCCGATTTCTGGCCACTGAAACGATGCCCTTCTTCCGGTTTTCTGGGCACTCTAGGCCTTCACCTTGCTGGAGCGGCTGAATCAGCGCTCGGGGCAGCCGAACGTCACTCGGCTGAAGGGTGCTCTAGCACCCCGTTCGTGGCAGCCCGTCCCGGTCAGAGCACTCCGAAGCCCGAAGAGACCGAAAGTTCGCAAGAGCAAGGCACTCATAACACTGCAAGAGTTGGCTACATTTGAGGTCTGTGTGGGTACTGTAAGTATTCGTACATCGATGCATGCATGTTTGGGGACGGCAATGCGTTCCAGCTGGGCCGGCTCTGATGTGTACGGAACAAAATGGAACAAATAAGGTTTTGACCTCCAAGCAACCTGAGAGAACATATGGTCCAACTTCCTAAGAGAACAGGGGTCATGTTCGGGCCATTGCCCCTTGTTGGCCAACATTCTGCGCTGGATGTGCGGGGCTTTTTGTTGTTCGTATGACGTATCGACAGATCCAAGAGAAATGGACAGATAGAGAAACCAGGGATTCAAGACCCTAGGCCTCCAGTCGTACCTTCGTTTTGAAGGTGGGACTGGGGTGGCTGCCAGGAGGGTCTAAATACCTTCTGAGCAGGTACCTGGAGGTGTAGGGAGAAGGGTTTCACACCATGGATACATCACTTGCTCAGATCATCCACGGACGGTCGGACGGCCGGGGTCCCGGTGGTTGCTGGGTTCATGTTGCTTACCAGGACCATATTTCGACTCTAGACCGCCTGTCATGAACAGAAAGGTAAAACCACTTTCAACATGTATTGGACACCGTGCCACTATCTATTTGTGGACCACTTTAGATCACAGATGTACGTATACACAAGAGTATCTAAAGCGACATACATAGCGCGGTGCATCTCACATATAAATAACCGTTCCAATATATAAAGGTACTTGATCTAACAAAAAAAAGCTCTAAACAAAAGTTTCAACGACCTCCCGTTTGTTTGTCGCTGCCAAGAAGTCCTTTGGTTTCTGAGATAGCTACTCAGCTACTCCTGCTACAGCTCTTTACCTTTCGCTGCCCAAAAAGCCTGCTGCTCTTGCTACTCTTGCTACTCCCTTCCTGTTGCTTCTGTGTACTCACCATCAATCATCAGATGGTGCGCATCGTTGCGTGAAAGCACGCAGCTTCGTCGCCGGCATCGGTGGGTGGTGCTTCGTCGTGCGGACCCGAGCGGCCCTGAGTGGAGCGGGTCGGTTCCAGTGCCCCGGAGAACCCCACGTGATGCGAAGGAGTTTGAACCAAAAAGACATGGAACAATCATCGCCGGTTCCAGCTATATAGGTCTGATCAATTATTCTAAGTCTACGGCTTCACAACCAGTTGAGTTCGTAGCTCCCCAATCCACTGGATTGCTGACTCCATTGGGCTACCAAGAAGGACCCAAGAGAAGACCCTCACGGGCCTAGAGGATTAGGCCAGAATAGCCACCTACGAAAAGGATCATCCAAGCAGGCAGTGATCTACAATGCGGCTGTAAGCGCTTGTGAGAAGTATGGCCAGTGGCAAGGAGCCTTGCAGAAGCTTGGCAGCGAGGGGTTGGGGTAGAGGTGGAAGATTTGACCATGTCCACTTCTCAGACAACACCTGGGATCGCTTTGTGATGTTGACTAACCCCCCTACCAGCATAGTTCTACATCCCCATGTGGCTGGGTTATTAATCAGTCATTAGTCAACATTCCAGATTGATATCGTATCAATGATAAATTCCACAAGAATCCCTTAGTCGCACGGGCTCTTTGTGGAACCGAGGGGCTCCCCGAGTTTGGTGTCAGTGAAATCAGAATCCTATAGTTCTGGGCTTGAAACATGATGTCCTGTAGATGTTCCCTGAAACCAATCCGTTGAGGAATATCCGATGTGGTTATTTTTTTTGTGTGTGTTGCGCGTGTTTGCTTTTGGTTCACATATGATGATACGGACTTTCTCGTGGTGTTGGCGGTGGGAAAAGACAAAATTCTATGGACCATGAGTGTGCCCTGAACAAGGGTTCCATTTGCCAGGACCCACACGGGGGTGGTTCATGAACACCCCGAATCACCTCGAATGGGGACTATTAATAGACGCCCGCTTACGGGCCCTGTCATTGGTTTGTATGTAGTGTACTATTGAATCTATGCGAGGTGAGGTGAATTTTTTTTTAGGCCTTGCCTACTCCGCCCGTGAGTGTTTACCCTTCATGGAAGGCACCCGAACGTATGGGCCGTACTGGATAAGTTAGTACACAAATGTATACAACCAAAGGTAGGTGCTAGGTCCTAGGCCCTTCTTGTGCTGGTTCTAGTTCTTAATACAACGGAGCTCCAACTCTCAGCTGTAGCTGCTGTCCGAATGATGTGCACCAGTTGGAACCCTTCTTCATCCCCGGGCAGATCCTGAAATCGGACCTTGACACCTGTTTCCCTCTTTTGCTTACTAGGTGAATATCTTTTCTCCATCAGTGAGTCCAGATTCCTGAAGCTAATCAGCTAATCCCAGGTTTTCATGTCCCGCAAAAGAGTCACTCACCGTCTACTCTCTGGGGCGGTTTTGATTTTCTGCGGTGAGAACGAACATGCCGATGTCGGAAGATTCCGGCTACTTGGTGAAACGGTGCTAAACTTAGCACCTACCCTATAGACCTCCAGTCATACCGTATCGGTTCGCTTCGGTGGGACGACCGGGGCCCGGGTGCCAGGTCCTGAGGTTCGGTGCGACGACGACTGGAGGTGTAGGGCTAGTGAGTAGAAAACCTGTTTCATATCCAGCCATGAACCTGGCCTGGATTGGACACCAAGAAAAAAACCAAGCGGGCGGACACCAAATCCCCCAGGTGGAACGTGTGGTTAACCTTTATTCCTCTATTCATCCAGGGAAACAGAGAGAGAGAGAGAGAAGGACAGTTCACCATCCAATTGTTGGATCCACAAAGGAGCTTCTCTGGTTCAGATTACGCCCACTTTCCCCCACGCTCAGCTTCATACACACCTTCATACACCACGAAAACATACGAAAGTGGAACTCACCAAAGACTGTTTTTAATCAAAAACATCCTGGTTTTGAGGTGCTGGCAGCACCCAGACGCTCAACGCTCCAACAAAAAGAACCAGACCCCTCCAAAGGATTCGGCTCCACCCTCTCATCGCTTCGGGTTTTCCAGTCTGTTGGCCTCGCAATGCTCCAGCAGCGCCGAGGTCCTTGGCCCAGCAGCTCCGCTCGTCGCTCAGCTTGGGCGTCGCCGGCCTTGCGGGCGCCTCGAGCGCCTGCGGGCGCCGCAGCCTGTGGCGCTGGGCCACGGAACTCTCCAGTGCCATGCAGGAACACGGGCGTGAACCGGGGTGCACCGGGGGTTGGAACACGGGGGTTGGTGCTGGGAAGCAAGCTGTTGAGCACTCAACAGTTGGACCTGGGTTTTACCCAGTCCCAAGCAGAAACAAGTCTGGATGCTTCCCCAAAGAACTTGTTGGAACAATCACAATTGTTTCAGGTTTGTTGCTTCGGTTTCCTGGATGACTCAAATACGTGCATTTCCTATTTAATTATAATTAAGAGAGCTGCTGAACTTGTCAGCATATCCGAAGTTGGTCACCACAAACATCCCAAAAACCTTGGGAGAGGAGGCTTGGAACTAGAGTCACTAGAGATAATCAGTGACAATCTCATAGATAATCGCTATTGTGATTTGTTTGGCTTAGTTTTAGGGGTGGTGTATCAATGAGAAGTGGGTGGGCATTAGACTGTGTGAGCACATGGGGATTGCTTGAGCTCAACTGGTGGAGGGGCTAGGTGACCCAGGTGGCCAGTGCTGGAGTGGAGCAGTTTCTTCCTGGTTCCTGGGCGAACCCCAGGGGACCGGCTTCCGGGGAGCCGCTACCATCCACGTCAGATCCTAGAGCTTGAACTCTTCCATCCTATAGAATCCACCCTCAAGCCGCGGGGCTCGGGGGTGGGCGGTGGGGTTCGGGTCCAAGCGTACGCCCAGTTCGGAAGGGGGTCCAGTCCATGCTGCTGGTTGTTCGGGCAGTCTGAAGACGCTGAAGACGCTGAGAAAAAGACACCACAGAAAGACATCATTAATGAACAAAACACACATCTCTGACCTCCAGAGCTTATCTCCAGAGCTGCTTTCTTCCCTCCCCCTTAGTCCTTAGACCATATATGTCACATGTGTTTTCGTCATCCATCCCCGGTCCAGACAACCTCCGGAACACCGGGAGCGAAAGGGTGTGCCCGGGTGGTTGCAAGGGACACCCCGGACACCTCACCTCCAAGAGGCGTTCGCCTCTTAGAAGACATCCTGGTTTGAAGTTTTTTCCGGAGCTAGGGTGGAGGCCATCGCGCTTAAGGTGCAGGCCATCGCTAGTAGGTTGGAGGCCATCGCTCTTAGGGTGCGGTAGCTCACCCCTTTCGTCCGGAACCGGAACCGGAGGCCGACTAAGTGTCGCAGAGTAGTCCGTCGTGCGTCGTGGAGGCCCGCGAGGTGCAAGGCAATGCCATTGCCTACAATGCCTCATTGAGCTCTTTGGAGACCCTTAGAGGAAAAGACGGTAGATCTGTGACAGATCCTTTTGGTGGGTTTAAGGGTGGGCTTGAGGGGAACGTATAGCTGTACATGAAGTATTCACAGCGCTTCGCGGTAGAAGCTGCCCGCCCAGATTAAATAGAGAATGTGTCAGTAGCACCACACGAGGATACAGGTTGGCGGTGTGGGAAGCAGCAACTTGTGCTGTCGGAGCCGGTCTGTCTCGGTCTGTCAGTCTGTTTGTCTCGGTCGGACAGGACACACACGGACGAACACGCCCACGATGTCAATAGTGCAATCGCCCCCGAGCTGCATCGGCTGCATCGCATATATTTATCCGAAGCCATACGGACACACCTGATATCAATTTGTTGTTCATGTTCAACAAAAAACTTTAAAAAAACTAACGTTTCTAGTTTCTAGACCAAGCTTTGCCTCGAAGCTTACACAACGCCTCAAAGCCTTCAGTGCGAGCGGATTTCTGGCTGAAGAACTCAATGCGGACCGGTGACACGAGGTTTGCTTTGCTTGGGCTGAATGCTTAGTAGTTTGGAAGTCAGACCCGGAACCTTCAGCTGACACAGCTGACACACAAAGAGAGGCCACAATTGATGTGTTCAAAGGGTGAGAGCAAGAGCGTGTGCGATGTACTATAGGGATTTAGTTGGAGCTTGTGGTGATGTTCCTAGTGCTTCTAAGTTTGTTTGCTATTAGACGAGGACGAAGGATCCAACTTGGCAGGGCAGCCGCAGGCTGCAACTCAAAGGAACTATAGAATACTATGTCCTCCGATGCGTCCTAGTGCGTCCAGGTGAGGGAACCAGCGGACCGGTGCACCGAAAGTTCCTAGTTCCACGAATCCAAAAGATACTTGTGAGTAATGGATCACCAGGAATCACATGGAGTTGGGTGGTGTGACTCGTCCCAGCCAGTGAGTGGATGTTTTGGGCACTCCTGGCAGATGGCTTAAGGAGGTTTTTGTAAAGCATCTATATGATTTTTGTGATGTTCAGAACTCTACCCAGTTGACTTTTGTGATGGTTAAACAATTACCCAGTCAGTTGATCACCTTTAACTTAATTTTTTGGGGGTGTTGGGGACGCCACACTCACCAAGAAAGGCGGGGCAGTTCGGTGAACCTTTCTTGTCAGCTACTCCTGGTCAATCAACAAAATGTTAACCAAATTTCGAGTGATCTCCATCAGGACATGAACAAACCCTCAGTCACACGCCGAGAACGACCGGGTTTGCCCGTCGCGCGGCCTCCCTCAAACCTCAAGGAAGTCCACGTCCAAGCGCTGGCGCGGCTGGCGCCTGGCGGCCAACCTCTGCGAGGCTCTGACCCGTCGCACCATCGCTCCCACCGCGCCCGAGACGGAACGGACGCGGAACGGACGCGGAGGGGGGGGGGTTGGAGCTCGGTGGGTTGGTCTTCAATGAGTTGTGCTGAGGGGAGTGAGAAGTGATGAGAAATCTCTGGGGAAACCCCGTGGGGCTTAACTAGGCTTCACTAACAGCCTCAGTCTTCTTGCGCAAGTGCGCGGGGAGTAAATTTGTTGAGGCGTCCTTCACCCATGACGCCCATCAAGTCCTTATCATATACAGTATCTTCAGAGTGGCCAAGGTCCGTACGGAACTCCATCCAAATTGGAGTTGCAATTTAGGACAGGTGTATTGTATGAAAATAGAGGGGACAAGAGCAAAGGAATTCATCTGGATGTTTGCTCTGTGGACTTTCGCTGTGAAAACGGCGGTTTACGAAACATTGGGCAGGTCACCGTTTTCTAAAGGCGAATCCTAAAGATCCTGGCCGGTGTCCACGTTACACCTTGGATGTATCCTTGCAGACTCCTGTGACTACTACATGTGACTAATTACTGACTACCGTGAAATCCGTGACCAACATCTGATGATGGGGGAACTCGGGGAGTTTCTGGCTGCCACTTTCTACAGAAGAAACACATCCAGTGACGGTTGGTGCGATCTAGATGCCTCCTATACCTCAGCCTCCAACGCTCCAAAGTCCCACAGCCCAATCCCAGCCGTCCCTCAGACACACCTATACCCAGACACGACACATGGGACTACCATAGGACTGCCAATCAATTGATCCCCAAAACCACCCCAATTGATTGGCAGTCCGGACTGGCAGTCCCAGACAGATCGTGTCTGGGTGGCTCCAGACGAGCGGACCGCGGGACCTCGGACCTCGCGGCACGACGCTGGAGAGCGAGAGTGAACCATCCGACGGTGTGACCAGGACCATGCAGTCCGGGGTGTCCAATGGAGGTTAGCAGGAGACCCTATAAGGGTAGTCTATTGGAGGCCCCGGTCCAGGATGGTCCAGGTATATACTCTTTTTTGAACGGTGGCTTTTTGGGATGCCAATAATTAAGCATCATCTGTCACCGAATGCAACAGCACTATCTGATTTGGATCTCGTATGCCTCTGACTGCAAAGCACTGCTTGCTGGCTGAAGATGTGCTCTTGCTGGCGTGTGTCTTTTGTCTTGATACGTGATTTACAGTATGTGATTGCAGACCGGTGGAATTAATTCAATTAATAATATGTGTGTCAACATGCTTCACATTTCTGCACACATGCAACGGTTGCAGATATCAGATATCCACAATGATATGCTTCCACACCACGGCACCCACACACACACACTATGACATACTGCATGAGTAATATTGATACCCCCTTACATGTGTTGGTTTTCCACTTCTGATTCTCCAGTTTTTTTGCGAGGCTCTCAGTTCCATGCCATGCTTGCACGTCCAACTGCTACTAGTCACATTCCGGTCGGCACCCGTCTTGGTCAGCAAGTGCAGCAGCCAAGCAAGCACTTGCTCCTTGTGTTGCTATTGTTTTGGATCGATTGACATGCTACACCAGGCTCGCTTGCTTTGGCGAGTCTCATCCACCGGATCTTTCAACGATCGCATTTGATCCGAGGTGATTACCTGCAGTGCCATGATCTCCGCCTTGGAGAAGGGTCTCCAGTGACTTGAAGATGAAGTGTGCGATGAAACACCTCCCAGGGCCTCAGCGCGGTCGGTGAAGGTGATAACGTGGTTGAATATCACGAAACATGAAGCCCTAGACCTCCAGTCGAAGGTGAGACTGGGGGCCCGGGTGCCAGTTTCGGGTCCAGTCATACCGAACCTGAGGTTCGGTGCGACGAAGTCGGTGTAGGGAAGATGGGTGCGACTGGGTTATGGTTCAGAGATTGGTAGGACACACCGACACTCAAAGGTTTGGGGTCCCAAAATGTATGACACGCAATGCAGGGTCTTGAAGAAAAAAATCATATACTGTATGTACCCTAGGCCTCCAGTCGTACCTTCTGAGAAGGTGTTTGGGGTGGGTGCCAGGAGGGTCCAAATACCTTCTGAGGAGGTACTTGGTGGTGTAGGGGTATGGCTCTGGAGCTTCCAATAGGATTAGTGTTTTCTTCGGTGAAGTAGTGCCAGGGTGCACAGGTCAAAGATCATGATCTCACTGAATCGTGTTGTACCAAAGCCGAACCCTGCAACAAGGTGAGGCAAAAGTTCAAAGGATGTCGCAGGATCAAGTGTTGCTGGGTCGTGGCACTCAGGAAGACAGTTTACTTCAAGCATCGCAGGCACCTGTGGACTGGAGGCAATTGATTTGATGCTGCATCAGGGAAGGTTGCACCTGCACCAAGGTCACCAAACCCTCAGAACTTTTCTGCACAAAAATGAGGAGTCTATGATTCTCCCTTTGGGTCAGTCAGTCTTTCCTTTCTCAATCAAGCGAGGTGGCAGAGAGCCGGGAAACTCTTAGAGCAGTTGGTGCAACTGCAAGTGGAGGACGGGCCCGGGTGGAAGGGAGAGGAGGATGGACAGTGGAAGAGAAGTGCTCGGAAGGCTCAGAGGTAGCGAAGGGGAGGATGAGCAGTGGAAGGACTTGACGATGCGGTTGATGAACCAAATTCCCCAGGCTCTATTTGGAATGCACAAGCCCTCGCAACTAATTACAATTAAATAATTACCCTATAGGGCATTATAGGGATTCAAGTACCTTCTCAGGTTCGATACGACTGGACCCTCCAAACCTATGTGTCTCCTTCCTCACATTCTGAGAAGGTACTTGTTTTTTTAGGGTCAGTGCCAAAGGCAGATGACATGATTGAAAGCAGATGCAGATGTGAGGGTGCTTTGCGGAACTCAAGGTGACCAATAGGATTGGGGTTAGAGGTTGGCAAAGACAGGACTTCATGTGGGGAGTGGGGACGCCATCTTCATGTTTCATTGATGCGGTTCCATGTGCAAGACATATCAACATCAAATTAATGAACTTAGGAACAAAGGAACTACTAGTAGCGATGCCCTTGTTACTCGTAGCTTCTACCCTAGTAGTGATGGCCTCTTTCCCAGCTACTTCGCTCCCCAAGACCGGCTTCTTCGCTCCCATGCGGTGCCAGGCGAACGTGATTTCCTTCAACGCCGCCGTCACTGCCTGTGCGTCGGCGCAGAAAGCACTGGACGATCGACGCGGAAGTGCCATGACGACGGACGTCTGACGGAGGATCTCGACGATCGATCTGCTTTCCATCGTTTGCGGACGTCAGACGGATTCGTCGGGAGTCCCAGGATGTGTGGATGTAGGGCTCCAGAGCCAGTCGCTTCAGTTTGATGGGATTGAGGTGGGTGGATGCCGTGCCTGAGAGGACCTGAGGGGGTAATTAGTTGGAGCCCTAGGGAGTGCAGCTCATATTGAATTTTTGTTTATTCGGTTTTGCAAGTGCTCAGGGCTGCCTTTGTTTGGACAGAGACAAACAGTTCAAAGGACATCAGCTTGATTCATTGAAGTGACTTGTCCTTAGATCTCAGAACCATCCCCTTTCGGAGCTAAAAGAAGAAATAGCTCCAGTCGGATCATCGCAGCGAGGATTCTGTTTTCCGGTTCCAGATTCAGAGGTACCAGAAAACATCCGTCAAATACGGTACCTATTTGTACCTGTCTACGAGGCGTAGCACCCCTGCTCTACTATTCCCCGGCCAACGAGTCCGGACCACGGTCACCACGGTCGCCGGGAACTCCACGATCTCGTCTCGTCCCGCCACGCTGAGGCCGAGGGATGACCGGCGCGGCGAGAACAGCCAGCACAGCCAGAACCACGAGGACGAGCCTCGGATGAGAACCAGGAAGAGCTGAAGAGAGAGAGAGAGAGAGAGAGACTTTCACTCCATCACAGTCGACGCAGAAAACTCTCCCTGACTGCTGACTGCCTGGCCGTTTGCCGGCCTGGACCTAAGCCGAAAATCACCGCGCTGTTTTCGACCTGTTGGAATTGAGGGGCTTTCCCATTGTCGCTCCCAATCCAGGCTTTGCAGGTGATCCACTCTGTCCTGGGGACCTGTGGAAAGTCAGTTGGATGTGCAGGAACCAGGAACTGGGAACAAATAACAACATCTTCCCCATGCCTGTTTATTCACAAAAACCGGAAAACTAAGAGAAGACCGATCCGGAAAACCATCTCAAAATCAGGGCTATCTCGGTTCTTAAACGTGACCCTTTTGATCTCCTGCTTTCAGGCCACTTAGACGGACCTGCAATAAGGCTCATTTCGGGACTCCCAAAAGCTGGCTTTTTTTCAGAAGCCAGTCGATCCTTCTCTCTCCAACTGGGTTGGGTTGTTGCAGGACATCCGAGACACGGATGCTCCTGGACTTCTTATATAGGGATGGTTTTTGGAGGGCCGGGTCAATCTTCTGAGGATCAAAGGATCAAACAAAAACCATCCAAATCCAGAGTTGAGTCCCCAAATCAAAAACGATCAAAAAGGAATTGGTGGATGTTCAATAGCTTCGAATGTCCAGTCATGAGGACGGGAGAAGGTTTGCACCATTTCGCACCCACTGCCATGCCATGCTTCTGTCACACAGGCGACTCGCATCGAACAGCGGGAGCACAGCATCGAACGGCAGAATGCCAACGGGACCGTGTGAACGCCACTGGGACTTAAGGTGACGATTCCAGGAAGAACGGCTGTGATGCTTGGGCAGGGGGAACCATGTGTAAAATATTCGGGAAACTTTCCAAGAAGGACCAGTAAAAAAGACCCATTGGTTGGGCAACACGACTTGCGCAACTGCCTCTGAGTTTCTGCCCATGCACCGACACACAGTAGTATCAGTGGTATGAAGGGGGTGAAAAGGGGGTGATTCGACCGGTGTCGCCATGACCTGCGGTTCGACATCTATACCCCTTCCAAGCCTGCTTTTGGACACCCCGTTCCTCGAACAGAGCTATCTATAGACACCTCGAACGGAAGGTTGTTAGTACATGATGGTCAATGATTTTTAAGTCTATACCTGGACCCTCTGTAAGTCTAGACCTCTGTAAGTCGGGGGCGTCACGGCGTACGACCGTGCTGAGCGACCGTTGGAGAAGCGACCTGTGCACCGGACAGTCCTCAGCACCGCACTGCAGGTGAAGCCGAAACAGTCGCCGGTTCCACCGCAGGAGTTCGGAGCTTTCGCCCGGTTCTGAGGCATCGCTCGGAGGCGTTGCTGAAGCTCCTTGTATGTTGATGGATGAGTTGTTGACATAGTATATGTATAGATACATGTGTCCAATCATCTTGCTGGAGGTGAAACAGGACCACAGTGATCAGATTTGTTTATGCACACAAGAAACATGAAATTAGACTATAACACCACATGTCGGCATAATGTTCAGTTCAATTCACATGCATGCAAACATATCCAATCGAGTCTCAGTTCTTGGACGTGACATATAGACATATTTTGACATGGGCCCAACATGCTCCAACATGGTCGTGCCATTTTTTGAGTCAGAGATGGTCCAACATGAACTCCAGACATACGCAGAACAGATGAATTTGCCGTGCACAATCTTGGAAGGGTCGCCGCCAGAGAACAAGAGAAAAAATGGCGGCCGAGCTGGTCAGCAGACAGCAAGCTGCGAAGCATTTGCTGAAGCATCTAACAGTGGGTAAACAAGAATCATCATACCCGTTTAGAGAAAGGCATGGGCCTACTAACCAACTTACCGTGGTTTCAGAGTAGATGGCACAACCCCCTACATGCCTTTTAGATGGGGGTCCATATAAACCACCTGTTGGGGATTGTGCCCTCTACTCTGAACCCACTGTATATGTCAGGCCAGAAGTTTGCTCAGAGAGACTTTTGGGTCAAGTGCTTCTTCCGACAGATGAGCGAAAGTTTATCACCTCCAACTGCAGGCGACAAAGGCTGTTGTTGGATATTTCACCCAAAAATCAATCTGCCTGGATGCACCTGCCAGAGGGACAAGAATACAGTAAGTGATGTAGATGCCAGATGCAATATGCGGAATCTGCCAACTGAATCTTCGCAGCCCAACTAGTTAGCAAAGAGGTTTTTTTCTACAATCCACAGAACGTGCTGAAATATCGTTCGAGTTTTTCATGGCCAGACCTTCAGGATTCACAAAGCGTCCCAACACCTCAACGGGCCCTGCCCTGCCAGGCGCCCAAGCCTGTTGGACTACTGGAGGCGGGTGCCCTTGACGCTGCTGTCGGCGCCGTGCGGAGCGCCCAGGGGGGTGAGACCGCTCGCGGCGCGCCCGGGTTGGTGGGCTGTGTTCTTCTCATTGGTTGGCTGTCTTTCGGTGAAGCAGGAGAGTCATGTTATGTCATATAGGATATATATGGATATATAATAAGTATACAAGAAATATAAAAGAACTCCTCTACAAGTGTGTAATTCCTGGAGCAGATCTCAAGCTTGTGGATGCCCGGATCCATCATATTGAAAAGTCTTCTTCGTCTCAGCGCTTCTAGCGGTGATGGGCCAACGTGGATGGGAACATGGCCCCGCAATATGACTTAAGGATGACCATGAAAATCCATGGAAATCCGAATACCAATGACAAAGCAGATGGTGGTTTTCCACTTCTATGTCAATGATTTGGAGAGTAAGTACCTTCATGATCCACACCACCTAAGGTTCCAGGTGGATCCTTTCGCCTGTCTTTTTTGCGTCGGCGGCTTCCGCGGGGCTCAGCCGGTGGAACTCCAATCGCCAACGAGGGCAAAGAGTGATGAGCTTTGAGGGCCAGGCGGCCGCTTGGATGAAGAACAGCAGTTTCTTCCGTGAGCTGATCCAAAATTCAGTGACATATAGATTCTGCTCCCAACATTTGAGATGATACTTGAGGTGCATGACCGCTGGAATGCAGAGATTTGGGAGCGTTTGGATGCAGTCAATTCATCCCTTGACAGCTTCAAACGACATGGCATTGCCAGAGACCTGCATGAGACGACTCCTTTTGAGATGACTTGAGAATTAATATCTTTAAACTCGGTTTTTGCCGAGCTTCAATGGAGCATCAACGGAGCGGATGTGATGCTTTAGGGCTTGGTGCAGACATTGAGATGCGGTTCCAAGATGGAGACGAAGCATAAGAGGCGTTTCGCAATTCCTCAATCAAGGAGTCAGTGACTTTGCAACCATCAGTCGTACTATGTCATACGGTATAACCCAACAGAACACAACAGAACCACCTCATAACTCATTCACACTACCCAGACACTCCTGGACCCTCATATGGAGGGGTCGGACCCTCATATGGAGGGGTCAGGGGTCGAACCAATCCCTAGGTTTTGAGGGACCCAAGGGCTGTTTGGAGCGTCTGGGATATATATATATATATATGTGTATGTATGACTTGTGACTCACGACATATGGTGTAAGTATGTAACATCTCCCAGCATTGCATTCCTCACCTTTTCCACGTTTTGGGATGTGGATCGTCCCATCGATGTTCCCAGCTGTGTGGAACGGGCATTGTAGACGCATGAGATGGCCAAGTCATCCTGACCTTCGCCTTTGACTCGAGGCACCTTTTGTTTCGCTTGGCTTCGACCTCGAGGCCTTTGAACAAAGACACGTTAATCAACATGTTGTCACCACCACAACCATTAAAGCCACCAGCTGATTTATTGGCAATCAACTTGTTGTTTTTTCTCTCCCACAGGACATGCTGAAAGAATGAGAAGGTATGGAAGGGTGGAGAAGATTGTTCAATGATATACGGTTTTGACGGAACACAAGGATCGTGGTGATTTTGGTGACACACATGTGCTCGATTTGGGATCAGCGATACTGTACCTAGACTCCATGTGGAATATGTGCATTGACCCCTTTTCAGCCACACATGACAGTCTCACTCGCACGGAACAGGGTAGGTGCGGTGCGGTGCGGAACGTTCGACATGGGGCGCCGAAGACAGACAGAGTATTTGCGATTCCACATGAATCCATTATAAGTTTGCGCCATTCGTAGGCTAGGTATGTCAGATGCGCCCCTGTTTTGGCTCCCAATCATACAAGCTCAATACTCAAGACTCTCTCTGTGGGATTCTTTGAGTGCACTGGGGTTTGGCGGATTCTTTGGTCGATCATTCCATAATACATTCTTCCTAGTACAAGAACATAACCCAGTACATAACCCATAATACATTCCATAATAAACTGTTAGGGTCGAATTGTTTGGCGTATGTTTCTATCGACCACTCCGACCGCTCACCGTGCTTCGACGGGCACTGAGGCCATTGCTCCGGGGGAGCTGCAGCTGAGCTATGAGGGCCAAAGCGCAGTGATTCGCCCCTCGGGTCAGCGGCGCGTTCAGCGGTGGGTACGCTTCTTTGAACTTTGGATGGTTTTCATTAGCTGACTTTGGTCGAGTTCGATGTTTTTACCTCGCTTATGTTTGTTGTTTGCTGTTCAATGACCTGTCGTCTTTTGCAGAAGCAGTTTTGTTCGGTTTGATTATAGACAGTGGTTATTTCAAAGACCATGTCCGGGCGTTTTTGGAGGTCAGGCTGGGCATGGGGCGTATTGGGGCGTGTGGCCGGCCTGGGAAGTTCGTTGCAACATGGTTCCGTTTTGGAATTGTCTACCTGGTGCACCCCAGGTGGATGGGAAGGGCTGGTAAGGCTGAATTTCATGAGATACACTCCGACTCACTAACCCTTCTGGTTTGAGGAGCCCATGGTCTTGCATGGGCCCCATTGTCCATCTCAGTCGGAGTGGTGCAAACAACATCCAAAGCCCAGACGCTCCATGTATGGTATAGATGCCAATCAATTGAATGGGGTGGTTTGAGGGGTCAATTGATTGGCATATATGGCAGTCCCATGGAAAGTCTGGGAAGACGACTGTTGGAGCCAAAATCCAGACACGATCTGTCTGGGACTGGGATAGGACTGCCGATCAGTTGGGGTGGTTGATTTTAGGGGTCTTTCTGGGGCGGCATGTAAAAAGAAAGAACGACTGTCCCATCATGGGGTGGGGACATGCAAGAACAGGTGATCTTCCACGAGGATTGGCTTCCTCCGTTTTTTTTTTGTGACGACATGGACGCATCAGCAGTCGACTCTGGGTGGTCTCGACTCACACCAACCGCACCCCTCCACACCATCAGTGGGACTGCGGATCCCTGGTTCGCCTGTCGAAGCTGAGGCTGGTGTGTGGACTTGCGTCGTTTGTGCTCTCAGTACCGTCCGGGGTGCCCAACACGGACCGTGCGCCATCGAGGTGCTTCAATACGGGAAAGGTTAGGAATGTTGGATTTGTTTTTACAACCTCTTTTGAAGGTAATACTAGTATAGATTATTACTACTACTGTAACTACTACTACTTCTGCTACTACTACTACTACCACCACCACCACGACTACTACTACTACTACGACTACGACTACTACTACTATTATTTATCGTTATTATTGCAGTACTACTATTATTATTATACAGGTTACTTTTGTTTTCATTCAGTGTCTCAGGCTTTGTTCAATAATTGTTTTTGAAGCACCTGGTAGACGCCTGGGGCTCAGAAGAAGCAGGGTTTTGGCATTTGCATTCCCGTTTCACCCTGTGCAGGGATTGCATCTTTAGGTTATGCGACATGGTCCCGTCATCTACTGCTTGTACGTAGTTTTATATAAGGTCATACTCTAGGAGTTCTAGGGGGGTGCTGAATGACGGATCAGTCTTGCCAGTTTCCACTCACTCACATGCGGTCCATTAGC